GGGGGGAGGGGGGGGAGGGGGGTGGAGGGCCAGGGAATCTGGGCTAGGTAGAGCTGCGCTCCCGCCCACCGCAGGCGCCTCTGCACACCTGGCTTCTCCCTCCCCCACTTCCCGCACCTGCAAAATTGTCTTCCCCCACCTTCCGCAAGCCCTGCCTCGCTGCTGGGGTCTGCGGGAGGCGCACAGCGCAGGGTGGCGGAGGGAGGGGTGACGGCGGAGGGAAGGCGGGCATGCACCGCCGTCACTCCAGCAGCAGCTCCTACTGCGAGGCGGGGATGGCACGGAGTGCGCCCCCCGCCCGAGACTCCCCTCCTCCTGCCCCTCCTTGGCTTCTCCAAATTCGAACCAAACCTCACCACCACCCCCAACGTGCTGGGGGCTGGGAAGTGGAGAAGGGGAGCGAGGTGGATGAGCCAAGACACACTAGAAAGAGAGGGATGGCCGCTGGCGGGACGGGGGGCTGGGGGAGGAAGGGGTCGTGGCGTTTGGCACAGATCGCCGCCTGTAGTCAAGACCAGGCGCTCCCACGCAATCCCCGCCCTCACTCCCTCCCCGGCTTCTCCCTGGCTGAGGGCGACGCCAGGAGCACGGGGTTGGCGCGGCCCCCACCTCCCTCTGCTAATGACACCTTGAGCGGAAAAGTGGGCAAGGGGAGACAGAGGAAAGAGCACTGAGGCGGGAGTCCGCAGATTGGGAGTGGGGGGAGCGGGAGCACCCGAACTTCCCCGGCCCGGCCACCCAGGCCCATCGGCGTCCCAGGATGGGAGTGGAGTGAGTGTCGGGGAGCCCCCGGGCGTGACGGCGCGCGCACGGGAGAGGAGAGGATTTGCGTGGGCGAGTGGGGGCGCAGCATGCAGGGTGGGAGAGAGTGGACCTTACCCCACCTACACCGTCCCCAATTCCGCGCCCGGCCCCCACGCTGCTCCTCCTTGAAAACTTTTTGGAATTGACACTCAGCTTGGGGAATTTTTGTTTGTTTGTTTTAAAAGTATTTAAATTGAAAAATAACTTTTAAGAAAAAATTGGTACAACTGGTATTTCTGCATCTCCTCCTCTACCCCTCCTCCCGCGCCCTTCTCTCCCTGAAACCCCCAGGAAGAATCCTGAGCAAGCAGCCCAGACAAGGCTAGGCACCGAGAAGGGCCCGCCCTGAGCTCCGGCCCTCACTGGCCCGGGTAGGAGCTTGGTGGCGTGCTCAGGCTGCTTCCAGTCGTGGCCTGCCCCTTGGGGGTCTAGTTGGATACGCTGAGCGACCTCCCCTCCCCGCGGAGCCTGCGCCCCCTCGGCCTCCTGGAGCTTCCCGGAAGAAAGCCTGAGTGCTCGAGTGCTCGGTGCTTCTCCTGCCCCTGCCCACACGGCCGGCCGGCGCGCGCGCTCCACTGGAGTTCGGGCATCCCCTCTTTTTCCTTCTTTCTCTTCTGCTCCCTCCCTCCCTTCCTCCCCTTCATCTTCTGTTTCTCTCTCTTCCCGTTCCCTCCTTCTTTTCTTGTTTCTACTTTTCCTCTCTTTTCCTTTAAAATCTCTTCTTATAAAAGTAGTGCGCGCTCATTGCAGAAAACACAGAAAAGTCCTGAGAAGAAAATAAAACCAACCCCAGGTAACCTCCTGGTGTGTGCACTTTCAAACTTGCCTCATACTCCGCACTTGTAAAGATGCATTTTAAAAACAAGAGAGAGACCATCCTTTTGAAACCTCACGTTAACTTTTGACTCGTGGGTATCCTCTTTCCACGTCCATAAATGTCTTGAATGGCACCACTGCCACATTGTCAAATGGACAACCAGAGATCACTCCACGGGCACTCCAGGTGTGAGAGGTGTTTCTTTATTACACACATTATTCTTATTGTTATCCGATGAGTAGTCTGTGCACATCACATGGCTCACACCCCCCCCAGCACATTTCTTGAAGTGAAATTGCCAGGTCAAGACACGTGCAAGTCTTTAAAGATGTCTGTTTGCCACATTTTGCTAAACTGCCTTGCAGAAAGTCAATTTAATTTCATTGTTTTGTATTCTCCCAGTCCTCTCTCTCTCTCTTCTTTATTTTTACTTGAAGTATATGAATATAATACATAAATCCATTTTCAACATTAAATTTTAAATACAGAAGAACCTAGAGCAGAAAGTGCCACCCTCCCTTGGAGCAGGATTTTTCAAACTGCACTTCAGGACGCAGCAGGGGGTCAGGAAATTAATTAGATCAAGTTGAGCATTTTGAAGAACTGAAATAGAATAAATACAATGTAAATACCAGTATACATTTCACCTAGAGTAACCATAGTTTCCTGAGACTTTTGTTTCAATTGTGTGTGTGGATGCATGTACAAGGTGGTTGATGTGAAATGTATTTCTCCTGAAGGATCAAAACGTTTGGAAATGTTTGAAAGCCACCCCTGGAGTGTCCCTCAACTGGGATGGCCCCTGCAAACTGTTGGGTGTTTGCTTCCGGACTCTCCTTCATCTGCTGACAGTGTGTGAGAACGTTCTCAGATATAGTTCTGAGTGAGGAGCGTGCTGCAGTGTTTGATGATTGCCCTCACCCACCCCCACTCACTTTCTCCTGCCATTCTCTATCCCCCACCCCTCGCCCTCCATACATCTAGTCTGAGCAGGTCTCTGTCTGCAGGCTTACTTGTGCCAGGCACGTATGGATGCCTGAGCACCCCACCCCCCACCTCTAGGAGGAACTCGTCTCTGCTCTCAAGGAATGCTGGGATCAGTGGGGAGGAGGCGTGAGCAGCCATTATTCTTGTGGTTACCGTCAGGGTCATCCTCGTCACTGGTGCTTTCAAGGTCTTCCCTCAGTTTAGGACACAGTTTAGTTTTAGGCAGGGAGAGGGAGGACGTTAAAAGAGTTCATAGAGAAGGTCTTATTTGCTGCTTGAAGGCGCAAGCGCTTCTTCCAGGAGGACATGGAAGGAAGGGCATCCTTGGCAGAGGGCACTGGCAGTGGAAAGCCGGGCAGGCCCAAAAGGGCAGGTTGTGTTCAGAGAGTCCGGAGGCCCCAGTGTGACTGCAAAGCAGGAGGGTAGGGAGGAGGAGGGGGAGGAGGAGGAGAGGCCAGAGGAGCTTCGGGGCCAGCTTGGGGGCTTGGGCATCAGCCTGAGGTCTCTGCTGAGCCGCAGGGATGGGAGCCTCAGACAGGAAATGGGGGAAGTCAGGGGGAGAGGGGAAGGAGCGTCAGATGCCTGGGGATGGGGGTAGATGGGCATGTCCACCATCCACCACTGACGGGGACAGGTGCACTTCCAAGGGGCAGGCTGGCATCTCCACCTTTGACCTAGCAACTGTCGTCTAGTATTTACGTGAAGGAAATAAACTATTGGACAAAGAGGTGGGAAGCTACCCAGAGGTCCATGGCCTCCCCTTTACATTATCCAGACACCCATTGCAGAGAAGTCACATCCCAAAACTGTGGGGCTGCCTACACCTGGAAGAGTGAGAAGTGACATCTGAGTGTTGGCTCCAGGGGCCAGGCACCAGGCAAAGTGCATTCTCAGGATTGTTCAGTTTGGTCATCCTAACATCCCTCTTAGATGAGTACAATCGTTAGCCCATTTCATTGATGAAGAAACTGAGGCTTGGTGTGGTTGGAGTAAGCTGGCCAAGGTGTTCTGGGCTGAACTGTGTCCTCCTCCAAAGTTTGTATGTTGGAGTCCCAACCCCTTGAACCTCAGAATGTGACCTTATTTGAAGACAGGGTCTTTACAGAGGTAATTAAGTCAGGATGAGGTCATTGGGGTGGACCCTAATCCAAGATGACTCATGTCCTTAAAAGAAGGGGAGATCGGACACAGACACACACAGAGGGACAACCGTGTGAGGACACAGGGAGAAGACAGCCGTCCACAAGGCAAGAAAAGAAGCCTCAGGAGAAACCAGCCCTGCTGACACCTTGATCTCAGACTCGAAGCCTCCAGAACTTGGACAAAATACATGTCTGCTCTTTAGGGCTCCAGTCTGTGGTGCTTTGTTATGGCAGCTGTAGCAGAGCCATGCACAAGGTCATGGACAAGAAAGGGGCTTTGACCACAGGCTTCTGTGACCTCTTGCTGGGGGTTTAACGTCAGGATACACAGCATCCCTCTCATAGTGGCTAAAACAAATTAGGGTGCGTGAGCCTCCACAACACAGACCGGTTCCTCCCTCTGCAGCTCCATGAAAATGCAGCTCCCAGGACAGGGGGTCTGAACACGGCAGCGAGGGTGCATGCTCTTCTTTAATATCTGCAGAGATGCACACACATGCAGCTCTAGAAAAATCTACACCGAGGAACTCGCAGTAGCTGTCTCTGTGTGGGTGGGATTATGTGTTTTCTTACTTTCTTCTCGTTGCTTGTCTGTAGCCTGTGACTCTTCTGTAGTGAACATGTATTGCTCTTATGACAGAAAAATAAAACTAAAAGCAGCAAAAACAGGGGCTGTGGCGAGTAGAAACCTGGAGGCGGGGAGGCCAGAGCAGAGAAAGGCTCTGGCTGGAGATGCTGAGTTCCGGACCAGGCCCGGGGGCGGGAGGCGGGGGTGTTGAGGCCAGTATGGAGATGAGAGACATTTGGAAGGGAGAAAGGGGGTGGGGTTGCTGAAGAAA